TTGAATCTGCCCGTGGCGTCACTGCGCTGGGCCCCCCAGCAGGCCTCGAAAGTGGCGACAGTTTCACAGATCGCAGCCCCCAAGGGATGGCGAGGTCTCGCCCCCCAGAGATGGCCAGGTCTAATTTGAATCCGCGCGTGGCCCTCGCTGTGCTGGGCCCCCCAGCAGGCCTCGAAAATGGCGACAGTTTCACAGATCGCAGCCCCCCAGGGATGGCGAGGTCTAATTTGAATCTGCCCGTGGCCCTCACTGTGCTGGGCCCCCCAGCAGGCCTCGAAAATGGCGACAGTTTCACAGATCGCAGCCCCCCCAGGGATGGCGAGGTCTAATTTGAATCTGCCCGTGGCCCTCACTGTGCTGGGCCCCCCAGCAGGCCTCGAAAATGGCGACAGTTTCGCAGATCGCAGCCCCCCAGGGATGGCGAGGTCTAATTTGAATTTGGCACTGTGCTGGGCCCCCCAGCAGGCCTCGAAAATGGCGACAGTTTCACAGATCGCCCCCCCAGGGATGGCGAGGTCTAATTTGAATCCGCGCGTGCCCTCACTGTGCTGGGCCCCCCAGCAGGCCTCGAAAATGGCGACAGTTTCACAGATCGCAGCCCCCCAGGGATGGCGAGGTCTAATTTGAATCTGCGCGTCGCCCTCACTGTGCTGGGCCCCCCAGCAGGCCTCGAAAATGGCGACAGTTTCACAGATCGCACCCCCCCAGGGATGGCGAGGTCTAATTTGAATCCGCGCGTCGCCCTCACTGTGCTGGGCCCCCCAGCAGGCCTCGAAAATGGCGGCAGTTTCACAGATCGCAGCCCCCAGGGATGGCGAGGTCTAATTTGAATCTGCGCGTCGCCCTCACTGTGCTGAGCCCCCCAGCAGGCCTCGAAAATGGCGACAGCTTCACACATCGCAGCCCCCCAGGGACAGCGAGGTCGAATTTGAATCTGCGCGTCGCCCTCACTGTGCTGAGCCCCCCAGCAGGCCTCGAAAATGGCGGCAGTTTCACAGATCGCGGCCCCCCCAGGGATGGCGAGGTCTAGTTTGAATCTGCCCGTGGCCCTCACTGTGCTGGGCCCCCCAGCAGGCCTCGAAAATGGCGACAGCTTCACAGATCGCAGCCCCCCGCAGGCAAGACAGGAAGAGGCAGGGAGGGAGGAGGAGGAAGGAAGGAGTGGAGACCACACTGCTCTATTCAAAACGAATACCCAACCAAGGAGGGTTGGGAAAAACATCTAATGAGATGTCACGTCCAACCCAACATCAGCAGCACCTTGCAGCTACAAGCAGCAACAGCACGCAGCAGCGGTAAGTAAGCATTGCGAACAGCACGCGGCAGCGGCAGCAAGCAGCAGCACGCAGTAGCATGCGCGGAATGCGAAATTCGAGCCCCACGTCATCATTTCAGCCTTTGGGCAGCCACCAGGACATGCTGGCTCGTGCAGATCTCGTGGACGTAGTCCACGGATCAGCCCTAGTCTCTTCTTTCTACAATGCAGCGACCTCTGCGTGCGAGCAGGTGCTTGTCCCGAAAGGCTCCCCAGGCCCCACGGTGCGCCTTGCAAGTACTCCGAGACGGCTCTGGGGGGGTCCGACGGCTCAGGGGCGCTCAAGAGGGCGCCCGGACGCCCCAAGAGCACCCCAAGCAATCCCCAAAATGGCACCAGAGGCCCCCAAGGCAAACCAAGAGGCCCACGAGACGGCCCAGGAGGACCCCCAGGAGAGTCCCAAGAGGCACAAATCGTCCAATTCCCCTCGGAATTCGCGTATTTCTCCTATGACCGTTCTTTTCGTCTGCGCAGTCTCCCAAACAGCTGTACAGGCCCCCAAGATCGCCCCAAAACGTCCCCAGACGCAACCAGGAGGATCCCAAAACGGCCCGAGACGGCTCCGGCCAAGAGCGCCCAATTACGGCCCAAAGACGGCTCAGAGACGCTCAAGAGTGCGCTTGGGCGCCCCAAGAGGACACAAGCGAGCTCCAGGATGGCCCCAGAGGCCTCCAAGGCAAGCCAAGAGGCTCACGAGACGGCCCAGGAGGTCCCCCAGCAGAGCTCCAGCATGTACAAATCGTCCCATTCCCCCTTCGGAAAACATATCTTTTTAATGTGCTGGTTCTTTGCGCTTCCACAGTCTCCAAGACGGCTGTACAGGCCCCCAAGAGGGCCCCCAAACGGCCCGAGACGGCCCCGGGATGGTTCCAGAGGCGCCCGAGACTGCCCAAGAGAGCCCCAAGAGCGCCCAATATCAGCCCAAGACGGCCCCACATCGCCCCAAGGCGGCCAAATATGCATTCAAGACGGCCCAAGAGGGCCCCGAGAGATCCCCAGGGCCCCCAAACAGCCCCAAGAGGCCTTGGATGCTTCTCTCTTGGGGACCGTCGAACTTCCAGCGTCGTCTTGGGAGCCTCTTAGACCCTCTGGCCCTCTCTGGGCCTTTCGGGACGTCTTGGGGCGGCGCGCTCGAAAGGTCGATTCGTGTCCTCGCACCGGGGCCCGTCTTGGGGAGTTCGTGGGGCCCCCTTGGGCCGTCTGGGGAGCCTCTTGGCCCGTCCTGCAGACCTCTTGGGCCGTCTCGGCGCCGGGCCTCTTAGGCCGCGCCCCTCGGCCCCAATCTCACCACACTACCAGATGAAATCATCATTCGGCCCCAGCGAAGAAAAGATAATCTTATCATGGCGACCCGCCCAGCAGAAGCTATGATGAACACAGAACGCGGTGTGAGAAACAGCTTCTGTCCACACCATGTCGTGCCTACATGGGTGTGCTTCCATTGACACCGCCTCCACCACTGCGTTCCTGCCTTCAGGCCTGCTTGCCTGCGTCCCTCGCCCACCTCCCCCTCCAGCGGCCACCGCCTCCGTCCACGCCGTCCCTTCCAACTTCCCCTGACCCGCGAGGCCCCAGAGACGCTCCACTTTCACGCCCACGCCATGGCGGGCAGATGCCGCGGCCAGAAGGCCGCGGGTCCGCCCCAGTCAATGACAATGCGGGGAACAGTGCGCGCGAGCAGTGGCAGCGGGCGCTGGCGCTGCTGAGCGAGATGCGGGAGGCGCACCGGGAGCCCGACGTCATCTGCACCACCATTCTGGGCGTTATACGCGGGCGAAAAAAAGTCTTCAGTGAAAAGGCTGCCCTCGATCGCCCGAAGCGCCTTGGAGCGGCCTTGGAGCGGCCCGGAGCGCCCTCCGGGCCCCTGGGGCCTCCCAGGGGGGCCCCAGGAGATGCACACGGGGGCCCACGCGGGGCTTTCCCAGGCAGCTCCAGCCCCCCGCCCTGGTCCCAAGATGACCCAAGAGACCCTCAGGGCGGCCCACGAGGGCGCAGGAGGATCCCGATGACGGCCTTGCAAGACCCAAAGACAAGCACAAACCACAAATGTTCCAGGGGGCTCTGCGTCCCTCCCATGACGGGCCCAGAACGGCCCTACGCGGCTCCAGGCTCGATCAAGATCGCGCCGAGATGACCCAAGAGGCCCCCACGAGCCCAACAACACGGTCCACGCGGGCCCCAAGACGGCCCAGAACAGGCCCCGGAGAGCCTCATATAATTTCAAGTGGCCCCCCAAGAGGGCCCCAGAGGAGGGAGGAGGGAAGAGGGAGGAGGGAGGAGTAGGAGGAGGAGGAGGAGGCACAGAAGATGAGAAGAATAATAAGAAGACCAGACATTTGTGAACATCTCATTACAGATGGGAAGAAGAAGAAGAAGAAGAGGAGGCACAGGAGGGCCCACGCCCAGCTCCTAGGCGGCCCCCGACCCCCACCCCCCGGCCCCAAGTTGGCCCAAGAGGCCGCCGGGACGGCCCACGAGGGCCCAGGAGGACCCCGACAGCGGCCCCACGAGGCAGGAAAGCGGGCAAAAACCATACATGTTCTGAGGCTTCCCACGTTTCCCCAGATGACGAACCCAGCCCGGGGCGGCCCCACACGGCTCCACGTCCTCTCGAGATCGCACCGAGATTGGCCAAGAGGCCCTCCCGAGCCCACCAAGACGGCCCACGAGGGCCCCGAGGCGGCACAGGACAGGCCCCGGAGAGCTTAGCAGAGCTTGAAGTTGTCCCCCAAGACGCCCCAGGAGCTGCAACCCCAGATCCACACCTTGGCAAAAGCTTTCCCGACCGGGACGGCCCGAGCGGGCCCACGAGGACTCAGAAGGCGGCCCCACGAGGCCAAAAAAAGCAGGCACCGGCGCTGTGTTTTCGAGCGGTTTCGCACATTCTCTCGGTGACAAGCCCCGAACGGCCCCGCGTGGCTCCAGGCACTCCTACGGCCCAAGACGGCCCACGAGGGACCCAGCCGTACCAAGACCAGCGCCAGACGGGTGGATATAGAGCTTCCGCTGGCCCTCCGACGCGCTCATTGGAGCTGCCCAAGAGGGCCCCAATGTCAGCCGAGCTCCAGCACGGCCCCAGACCCCCACCACGGCCCCACGACAGCCGCAGATCAGGAGGAAAAGAAACACACAGACACAATGAATCCTCGATTCCCCAGAAATGATGGGAAAATATGGGAAGTGGGGGGAAGACAGAAACCCTGAAAATATGGGAAAATATGGGGCGTATCTTTATTTGTGTGTCTTTATTTGTGTGTCCTGGGGCCCCTTCAGTAGAGGCCCCCGGGGCAGTCCCAGGGGGCCCCAATGCAGGCCAAAGGCGGGCCCCAGATGGCCCACGAGGGCACCCCAACATGTCTCGGGCCCCCTCCCGCCGATGACGGGCGAAAAGGGGGACCTTCTCCTGTTTTATCTGCCTCGGATTCCTCCTCCTCCTCTTCCTCCTCCTCTTCCTCCTCCTCCTCTTCCTCCTCCTCCTCCTCCTCCTCCGCCTCCTCCCCCTCCCTCCTCCCCGCGCTTCGCAATCCCCGCTCTTCGCGATCCCGCCCCTCTCGATCGCGGAGGTGCCAAGTTCGACGTCCTGGCCGTGAGTATGCTGCGCGTTCACGACTGAGCTGCGCACGGCGCGGGATTGAGAAAGGTGAGCCGGTTCTCTCGCGCTACACTGTGATTTCTCTCTCACCATCATCCGCAGCATCATCGTCAGCAGCAGCATCATCAGCATCATCAGCATCATCAGCATCATCTTCATCATCATCATCATCATCATCATCATCATCATCATCGTCGTCATCATCCTCATCATCATCATCATCATCGTCATCATCATCGTCATCATCATCGTCGTCATCATCGTCATCATCATCACCACCATCATCAGCAGCAGCATCAGCAGCAGCAGAAGCATCATCACCACCATCACCATCATCAGCAGCAACAGCGGCAGCAGTATCAGCATCATCATCGTTATCATCATGAAAGTCAGCCTCATCATCATCATCATCATCATCATCATGATCGGCAGCATCATCATCAGCAGCATCATCCGCATCATCATCATCATCATCATCATCGTCATCGTCATCGTCATCGTCATCATCAGCAGCAGCATTATCATCCTCATCAGCATAGTTTTCATTATTCTCATTACAGTTACAGCTATGAGTATCACGACCATTTCCAGCCTCATCATCATCATCAGCAGCATCTTCATCATATCGCCATCAACATCAGCATCACCATTATCATCTGAAGCAGCATCATCACCATGATAGTAGTATTCCTCGTCGTCGTAATCACCATCACTATCAGCATCACCCTCATCAACAGCAGCATCATCATCATCAGCAGCATCATCATCCTGGCCCTCGTGCTTGTCCTCGACCTCCCCCCTACTACCGCCGGCAACAGGAGCAATGAGTTCTGGACGTTTCTTTCTGAAACGGGCGCAGCGGCGGCATGCCAGGGCCCAGGGCGGAGCAGGCAAGCTTGCAGGAGCAGCCCTGTCGAAGCACTCCTCATTCTCCCCTTGTCTAGGCTCAACCTGATGGGCGGCCGCATGTCTGATGACCTCCAGAAGAGCCCCCCCGAAGGCCGTCGAAAACCTTCAGAAACACGTTCGGGGGCGACCTGCCAAAATCATCGCAACTCGCCTGTGACGACAACGACGACGACGACGACGACGACGACGACGACGACCTGCGCCCCTGCAGCAGGCTCGAAGGCAAGGCTGGCCAGGGCGCGCGACCAGGCCAGGCTCGCCGTAGGATGCCTAGGCTATGTTGAGAACATCGAGCTTCAGTCGCAAACCTGTGATGGTTTGTACTAAAGTCAAAACTGGTATCAAGGATGAGCCCTTTCACAAGGGCCCCCTGCATCCTTCGGTTCTGGCTATCCTTATCTTGATTCGGCTTCTCCGGCTCAAGGGTACCTTCATGCGTCCTGGCGCGCGAGGAGCGAGGATGATGCTTGGCTGGGGTCCTATGCATCCCTTGTTTCAGGGTGGACGCATTTGTTGTTCGTTTCGCCACGTTCTAAGGTCCCTGCATCCTTAAACTCCATCCTTATCCCTGATTGTGACTACAGTCTCTGGAGGGTCGGCCTCGGCCTCCGAAGCCCCGTCTCTGTCGGCTGCGCGTAAGAGTGACGCTCCGCCAGACTTACTCTTGGTGCGCTGCTTTCGGGGGGGCGCGGGAGGGGGGGGACGCCAAACTCAAGCACGCAGGCCGCCACTGCCGCGCCGCATGCGGCGATCGGCAAGCCGCACACAACAGGGTCAACCTTGCACAGGGTCACCCCTGCGTGTAGCCGAGTATGTCAGGAGCACGTTGGGAAACCCCACGGTCCAGCGCGAGAGTTAGGAGGAACGAGATCCGGGCCGACTCGTCACTGCGGACTGGCGTTCATCCTTGAAGCCAGAAGTTGTCTCGCTCCTTCTCGCTAGTTTTCGGTTCCGAGCGCTCCGCAGTGAGCTGGAAGCGGCCAGGACTCTGACAATTTCTGCGAGGCGCATGCCCGAAGGGGGTCTCTGCGAGAGCTCGATGAAAACATGTCCTGGCCATCTTGAAGGCGAACCTGGGCGAAGCGGGACGATCCCAGGCCGCGCAGGCGCCACTGTCGTGCCAATGTGGGACCCTCTGGCGTGGCTGCCCGATGAGCTGACGGTGCGCGGCAAGATATGGCAGGCGTTGGTCGGAGAGGCGTCAGAGTTCGAGATCTCGAGCGGCCCTGCAGATGGAGGGGAAGGGCAGGGTGAGGAGGAGGAGCAGGAGGAGGAGGAGGAGGAAAAAGAGGAGGAGGAAGAGGGGGAAAGAGAGGGGGAAGAGCCAGGGCATCTGGCCGGGGGCGCGAGCGTGTGAGCGGAAAGGGCTGCAAGGGGAATGCAGGCCGGCCGAGCCTCTCTCGAAAGTCCTTGGAGTCGTTTTGCCCGGTCTTCTGGTGGTTCCAGGCAGCAGGCATGGCTCAACGGTTGGGCGAGGGAGGATGCGCATGCGACCACGGCCTGAAGCTCCTGAACACCAGGCAGAACTACTTGACCGTTGTCTCCGTCGGTCAGAGACCCCGCTTGCATGCCATCGCTGTTGCATGCGTAGTTGCAAGCTGCCTAGACGCTGACGGGGCACAGCGAGAGCAAAATATACATTGATTTCTAATGTCTGTACACAACACACACACACATGCGCTCTAACCATCGACGTGGAACGTGTGCCGTTGCTGCCCGCTTCCTCCCTCGTCATCCCTCCCTCTCCTTGGCCGCAGATTTGGCTCCTGCTCCATAGATGGGAGCAGCCAGCCGACAAGTCGTGGTATGCGCAACGCGTCCCGATAACGAGAGCTGGGCCTCCGTGAGGGCGGAGCTCAGTCGGCTCGCGGTTTGCCGCGTCAGTGCAGGCCCTTGCTGCGGACACGAAGGCGGGCAATTCGAGAGAGAGCGTGCCGGGCAGTGCGCACCTTCGGCTCGAGCCGCTGGCCGTGCAGAGCCCTAGCAACTGGAGAGGTGCGTGCCAATACCCTCGTCAAATTTGAACTCAAGAGGACGTTACTCACTTTACCCGCATATTGGATGTTCTGCGTATGGTCGGCATTGCGTGCGAAGTCCTTGTTGGTGCCTGCTCTCCAATGTCGGTGATTGTGGAGCTCCCGAGTCGATCCGGCACAGACCGCGCTTCGGTATGCCTCGACATTGAACGAGGGCGACGCAGAAGGGGCGAAAGGAAGCGACATTGAAGGGGCGCGTCGACAACTTTGAGGTCAATTTTGTCGAGCGTTGTGATACTCCTGGGCACTGTTGGGAGGGCTTGGAAGGGATTCTGCCCCTCGCGGGGCCGCGGGGGGAGCCGCAACAGCAGCAGAACCAGCAGCAGCGGAGGAGCGGGCTGCCCACGAGGTATGCATTTCGCACGGCAAGACAGGCCTCGGCAAAAGATAGCGAACACTCATGCCACACTCATCTGTGAACGCCTCCCCCTCCCCCCAATGTTCAGAGTTGGCGTGTGGGTCTGATGAGTTGCACCTCGACCGCGGTCTCCCCCGCGCGTGCCAACTTTGAGTTTGGGGGGCGGGGGGGGGGGGTTCACTGACTGTTTCCCTCTGCCGGAGCTCCGGGGAGCGGCCTCCGGGCCGAGCACTGAGGCGCCACACGGGTCTTCCTGCACACCGAGGGGCGCCTTCAGTCAGTGGACGAGCGCTACCCTGGGCTTTTGGAAGCGGTTTTTACCGCCGCCAGGGTGGTTGACATACGCCCACCTGCATGAGGTCAGGTGGGTTGGCATACGCCAGGTGGGTTGGCATACGCCCACCTGCATGAGGTCAGGAACGTTCGCTCAGCGTGTCGCGCAGCCAGTTTTGGCCCGCCACGCTTCGGCGCGACACGCTGACCACGTTCTGGTCCCAGGGCATCCGCGTCCCGAGCCTTTCGAAGCTCCCCGCCCTGCGAAGGGGAGCGACACGCTATCAGCTTGCAGAGTACAGCGTGTCGCGAATGCCGCCTCCACGGCGCGCTAAGCAAAACCTGTTGGCCGTACAGAGATACATCCTATACACAGACCACCTCCTGGACTACACGGATTCGTTGTCTCCGAGTCGTTGTTTGGGGTCCACGCGCATGCACTGTCATTCCACGACCGGAAGAGGCAGCCATGTCTGTAGACACCTACAGCACAGTTGCCCTGCGACTACATGCGATACCGCCGTTGTTGGGTCACAGTTTCCTCGATAAGCAGACTGATCAGTTCCGGCACATTATATGGATCTTGAAGCAGAGATGTCGGGTTGGGCATATCGATACACAGGGAAGTTACATACGTATATTCCACACTCGGGGGATAAGAAAGTCAGCGTTGGCACAGCCATGCGAGCAATATGTGTCACAGTCGCGTGCGGTAGGTTGCATTACAGCCGCCTGCACAAAAGGCACCATTGACGCATTTCCTTCCAGCCGCGCTTGGTACATGTAATTATGGCCCACCATCTCGAAAAACAGCGTTGTCACAGTCACCTGCAGCGCAGCCACCTCACAGCCGCTTGTGGTACAGCCACGTTGGGACAGTCATGTTACATTGCCTGGTTCCTGGTTGCACTGTCAAGAGATGCCCCATGTGTTTCACGTACGCCTGGATGAACTATCTGAACTGGAACCTCTTGAACAGGCGTTGTTTGGACCTGCACCCAGTGAACAGGCACACACACACACACCAGTTGCTTCAGTCAGTTATCTAGGCGTCCCCCCGAAGGACGGGAGCTTCTCCCAGCGGCTCGATCCACACGGCAGTTTCTCGGCGGCCGTGGAGCTCTGGAGTCTGGCACTGGAGCACCATAATTCCATGAAAGAGTTGTGAAGCATGCTGTTTTTCCCCCGTAGAGTTTGCACGTTCTTCTAGAGCACCTCCATTCGTTGACGCAGTTCTGCCACGACTAAGGCGCTAGACTGCGAGCAGAGCAATTACGCGCGATTCGTTCTAGACAGAGTGGTTTTTCAGACGAGGTGCTCACAGAGGACTACCAGGCAAGACCTGCTCGACTCTTGAAACAAAGTCGCATCAGTGCCGCGCGTGCTTTCACGTGCACGGAATGTATTGACCTGTCTAGCAGCCGCGCGCGGTGCCGATTCTGGGCGATGGCTGCTGAGCTGCAGCTGCCCGCAGGAGGCTCCGCGGGAGCTCCTTTGGAGCCGTGCCGTCCCACCCCCCGACCGGTGCTTGTTCCCCGGCTCCCGGAAGGCGAAGGCCCCTGGCAGGAGTGGAACAACAGCAACGCGGCGCACGCTCTGAGGCGCCACCGGGGGCAAGATGACAACGGGAGGTGCTGTCGGGGGCGGCAAAGAGGGGGGTGATGACTAGGGGGGGGGGGGTATCATGGCGGGGGCCATGATGTTTCCCCAGATTTCATGGCGGCTCTTCTTATTTCATTGCGTCCCTGGCCCCCCCGCCGCTGGGCCGCGCACATGCCGCCAGTCATGATTTGCACCCCCCCTCTTTGACGCCCCCCTCTCTTTGCCGCTCCCGATACTGGAATCGCGGCGGTGGAGTGATTGGAGGGAGGGTTCAGGGAGGAGGCTGAAGTTCTGGTCCTGCTCCCCTCAGGCCTCACGACGGCATTTTCGCCGTGAACGGAGTGCGAGGTGACGGTGGCCGCTTGATGGATGAGATACGGGAGTCGGCGTTACGCTGGGGAGCTCTTTGCACACTCTCTTTACATGTGTACCTTTCTTTCTCAGGTGTTGTTGCAAGAGGCGTTCGGGCGCATTGCTGGTGTTCCCCGCATCCCATGGACCGTGCAGCATGAGCGGGTCTCAACATTCGGAGGACACGATTGGTGTCCCTTCTCTTTTTTATTTCCTCTCATATCGGAGACACCTACGGTGAGTCACCACCGCCCCTTGCCTGTGGGAAGCGCCTGAGTCGTGAAATGTCGAGCGAAGATGCGGCCACGCCATTGGACTGCGGGTTCCCCAGCAGTGGGGAAAGCAGCGGGGGGACACTGGGGAGGGACCCTCTGGGACCGTCTTTGGGCGTTCCGTCGACCTCTTTGGACCTATTTTGAGACCTTCGATGGGTCCGTTTGAGGAGGAGGAGGAGGAGGAGGAGGAGGAGGAGGAGGAGGAGGAGGAGAAGGGGGAGAGGAGGAGGAGGAGGAGGAGGAGAGGAGGAGGAGGAGGAGGCGGGGGAGAAGGAGGAGGAAGGAGGAGGAGGAGGAGGAGGGGGAGGAGGAGGAGGAGGAGGAGGGCCATATTCGAACTCCCTTGGGACGTCTCAGGGCGCGCGGAGGCCGTCTTCGAGGCATCTATGGAACGTCTCGGGGCCCTTCGGAGCCGCCTCGGGGACCCCCCGCCGACCTCTGGAGGCCGTTGGGGACCTCGGGTGGCCTCGGGAGAGCTCCGGAGGCCTATGGGAACCTCCAGGGGAGGAGGAGGAGGACGAGGACGAGGAGGAGGACGAGGAGGACGAGGAGGAAGGAGAAAGGAGAAGGGAGGAATCAGGAGGATGAGGAGGAGGAGGGGGGAAGGCAAGCTAGGCGCGCTCGCGTCATATCTGACGTCCTACCCCTCCCTCCCATCGCTTACCATGGCGTAGATCTCTCTATTCGCACAGTCGGATGTCGAGCAGAGCAATGATCCCGAGAGGGTGCGCGATGCATCGTAGAGCACGGCATAGCAGGGCGTAGAATAGCACGGCCGATCGTAGTATGTCATAGCATGACGTGGCGTTGCGTAGTGAAGAATTGCATCACAAGGCATTACAGCGCAAAGAATGGCATCGCACAGCGGCACATAACAGAACATGGCATAGTATGGCGTTGAAGATCAAAGCGTAGCATGGCATAGTATGGTGTGGCAATGCGTAGTCAAGCACTGTATATCCTAGCATTGCAGTTGAAGGCATGGCATCGCACAGAGGAACATCACATAGCATTGCATTGCATGCCGTGGCATGGCATTGGAACTAATGACGCCAGCGTTGCAGCGGGAGCACGATTCGGAACGAGCGGAAGCGCGGAAATGAGGCCAGCGCTGCAGCGGGAGCACGATTCGGAATGAGCGGAAGCGCGGAAATGAGGCCAGCGCTGCAGCGGGAGCACGATTCGGAGCAAGCGGAATCCCGAAAATGAGGCCAGCGCTTCAGCGGGAGCAACATGTTGAAAAAAACACGAAAACCCAACTCCCGGAAATCTTGTGTAAAAAAACAGTATGCGGAGGGGGGCCAGACATCTTCCAGACGTCATCAGGGGAGACAGGCGAGTAGTATTCACATTGTACAAGTATAGAGAGAGGGAGGAAGGAGGGAGGGAGGGAGGAGGAGTAGGAGAGAGGAGGAGTGGAAGAGAGGGAGGAGGGAGGGAGGGAGGAGGAGTAGGAGAGAGGAGGAGTAGGAGAGAGGGAGGAGGGAGGGAGGGAGGGGAGGAGGAACAGAATGAGAGAGGAGGGAGGGAGGAAGGCAGGGAGGAGGGAGGGAGGGAGGGAGGCCTCTACCCTCCCCGCGGTCTCCGCTCGCGCGTGCTCGGCCCAGCCAGGAGGCCCGGGCAGCCCCAAGGTGACCCTGACGGTCCGGCGCCCCAGGCGGGAGCGGCCCGCCGCACCGCCGGCCGTGGCGCCCCACTTCGCCCTCCTATGGCCCCCCTGGGCTTCTGCTCCCTCCGCATCCGCCCTTCTCGACCTCCTCGGCGTCCGCCCTCCTCCTCCTCCTCCTCC